TTCGATGTTACTCGGTGTGCGGGGAAAAGGGTGAATATAGTATCATAAAACTGTTCCCACGTAAGTCGGGATAGATGAAACTTTGTTTCATGTCCCTTGTCTTGAGCCTCAGTCGCGTGTTTACGTCGCAACTCGGTGTACAGGCTCTCACGGTCGTTATTCCCTATGTTCTTAAAGGACACGTGCATAGCCAGGAACTCGTACCATCGCTGTGTCTTGTCCTTTGTTATATCTGGACGTTTCAGGTCAGCATCTAGCTTCAGAATATAACTCTGAATGGGCGTGTTCTCAACTGGTTCAGTTAAAATTAAACTCAGTCCTGGGCTACGCATGTCCTCACTTAACAAGGATTTAACCAACCAACACACCGCTGGCCAGTCACGACAAGTGTCTAGCTCATGTCGGTGTCGCTGCAGGATCAAATAACTTGTATCTGTAGGGTCAAACGTCTGCATTAAAGCAGAGATCCATTGCTGGAGAGCGATATCGACCGTAAACGCATTAAGCGTACGGGTTAGCGTGTCGAGGTGATGGTTGTTTATAAACTCGACCTGCTTACTGTTGGCATCCCAGTTTGACTTAAGTCGACTGATCTGTCCTTTGTACTTCTGGTTATACCTGTGGTCTTGTCCACGTTGGGCCTGAAGTAGCTGATCGATGCGCTTTTGCTTAATCGTAATCATATTAGCAAAATATGATACATCCTTAGCATGATGCGCATCGATTTCCATTTTAATGGTATAATCGTCGACCGATTTGTTAAGTTCGGTCACCTCGTCAGAGTGAAAATCCTCTGCGGGTTGATGTAGTGCTGTGCGATCGAAGCGATTAAATTCGACTTCGTTAACACGTTTATGGGGGTGTTTATTACCCCTTGTAAAGTCCATGGTCGAGGCCTTTCGGTGCTCTGTTCCTCGGATAGTGGTTGGTATTATAATCTTGGGTGATTCATGCGTCTGGATAACATACCCAGTCTTATCTGGTTTCCGACGATTGTCTTCCCAATTGGGTAAAAGTGGCGGAGTATTTCTACCTGCCTCTGGTTCTATAATACCCTCAAGGACGGGTGACTCATGGCCGGGTGTCAGAACAGGCGAGTCATTAGCCTGAAGTTCTGGTGGTAGTACCTCGTAAGGTATAGATACGCTGAGCACATCTGGCTCATATGCCACAGGTGTAACGCTCGAGTCTTTACGTTCTTCGGGCGTAATTGCCTGTCGACGTTCTGTCCACTTCTGTAGGGCTTCAGCAATGCCCGGAGAAACATGCTCGCGTAAGTGCTGTATATGTTTTCCTGATCTATACAATCGATTTACATGTTCAACAGTCAAGTCTTTCATAAGGGTAGCTAACTGATTCTTAAGATCAATGTTTTCAGTAATTAACTTACTTATGCGCGTTAGCTTAGTAGTCTCGGACGTAGATTCGGGTTTGCCACTTGAGCTTGCCTCCTCTTCTGGTTCCAATATAGGTTCCTTCTGAGATTTGTCCTTGTCCCCTATAATTGGGAACTTTTCTTTTTGAGTTTCGTCAGAAGAATGGGTTGGGGCGTCTTGAGACGTGTCCCTTGTCTCACTTCTTGGCCTCATAAAAGCTAGCTTTGAATTTGAGGCAATAGTTGGCCCTCGGGCTCTGTCAGTGGGAGTAGTCTCCTTAATCGGAGTGGCTACATCCTTATCTGAAGCATTGTCCTGTTGAATATTATTGTCGGAGGCAAGTGCTTCGGCTACAGTGCGGTTAAACGCATCAGCAGCGGCAGCGGTTTCTCTCTCCATCTTCTTTTTTTCAGCTCTACGCTTCTTAGAAGGAGTATTGTCTTTCTTGGTCATAATCTTAACTTATGACTGCTAAATCTTAACTTATGACTGCTAGCTGATCTCTTAAGGGCTAACTTGGACAAGAAAGATTTTGTGGTAGTTAATCTACCTTGACGCTTAAGTAGTCTAAGTAATTAATACCTTTGCTAACTTTAAAATGTGTAAGATTCGGTCTATTAAGGCGATATTATCGCCTTAGAGTAAATAAACGCGTATGTAAATTCTAAGTATCGTGAAAATATCAAAGTAAGTAACCGAAATGAGACTTTTAGTAAAGTTAGCTATGCCTCGTAAAAACAGCAATACTCTGAGGGATTGCGAGGCTGAAACATTGCCTATATATAATCCTCTCAGTACTGTTTCCGCCGAAGGGATTTTATTTAGTGTTTTGTTGTCGCTCTATTAGAAACTATGGTATGTTTCATTGGGGTGAATCTGAGAGACTCGTAAAATCCTATCTTTAGAAGAAGAAGAAAAATTAAAAAAGGAAAAATACTCTTGATGTCCTTAATTATTGTCTTAGTCAATAACTTGCCACTTATCAAGAATTACCGACTTAGCCTTCATCAGACTGGCACATCTGGTTGGCTGATCGGAGGATCAACTAGGTAACGTTAATAGTCCCTAGAAGCCTATATTCGGTTGAGCCATCTCGCTACCGAAGTATTCAGATATAAATAAAATTGGAAAGTAAATATAGTTATATTAATAGAACTAGACCAACTCTTATGTTTGGTATTTTACTGGGGCCTTTTAATGGCCTCGTCCAAATATCTGACATGTAAAATGGAAAAGGTATTAATTAAAAAACCATTAAAAACCATTTAGGAAACTTAAGTTCCTCTTACTATTAAGAGTACGTTTATAACATAGAGTCGAATGTGAAGGCCCGGCTATTACAAAGGTGGATGGGACGTTTCCTAATGCCTTTTGGAGGTACGTACATGCCATGCTATTTAAAG